AGAGGACGCGCCGGTCGCGGACGGTGCTGCGGCGGTGCCAGGAGGCCGACCGCGAGGAGCTCAACCACTGGATCCGGCGCTACAGCGACGCCGAGGACATGAAGAAAGGCAGCCCCCCCCCCGCCCGCCCCCACAACAGCTCCTCTGCCTCCGAGGCACCCCAGTTAGGTATTGACCCCCAGGGCCGCGGGGTGCGTTCGGGGGGGCTGCGCCCCTCTCCGGGGTGCCCGTGCTGTTCCCCCGGGGGTCCGGTGCTGCCGTCGGGTGGGTTCGAAGAGGACAGCATCTCCTAACGGTGTCGCGCCCTCTCCTTCGCAGACGCTCACCGGGAGTTCGCGCCGCGGCCCCTCTCCGGGTACATGCCGGAGGAGATCTGGAGGAAGGCTGGTGAGTGTGGGGTGGGCACCGGCACCCGTCGGTGTGCCGACGTCGCAGGGTCTCTGCCTCCTCCCCGCACTGCGTCAGGGTGCCGGCGGGGCCAGAGGGGGTCGGGGTGGGTTTGCGGCGCGGGGTGGGTGCTCCCATGGTGCTGCTGCAGAGAGGGATGCGCGGAGCCGGGGCTGGGGTGCCGTCACACCCCGTGCCACGCTCAGCCGCCTTCCTTCCAGAAGAAGCTGTGAACGAGGTGAAGCGTCAGGCCATGTCCGAGCTGCAGAAGGCTGTGTCGGACGCCGAGCGGAAAGCCCACGAGCTGATCACGACGGAGCGAGCCAAAATGGAGCGAGCCCTGGCCGAGGCCAAGCGCCAGGCTTCGGAGGATGCCCTGACCGTCATCAATCAGCAGGAGGACTCGAGCGAGGTGGGGGCCGGCGGGGACGAGCTGGCGGGGACAGGGTTGGTGGCAGCATGGGTGTTTGGGACCTGCTCCTTTTGCAATCAAGTTTGCAGTGTCCGTGCATGCAGGTGTGGGTACCGGCGGGGCCATGGCAACACCACGGGATGGGGAGAAGAGGGGATTTCTTGCACTGAGCTGGGGATGGGGTGCATGGTCTGGGATGATGTGCATGGTCCGGGATGCGGGGGGTGGGCAGGGGGCTGGGAAGCCCCCCCCGACCCCGCAGGGAGAGGGGTGCTGCAGGGGGCTGACCCCCTGCCGCGCTTGCCTTGCAGCGGTGCACGGGACGCGGCAGGAGGAGGTGATCGACCACCGGCTCACCGACCGGGAGTGGGCAGAGGAGTGGAAACACCTCAACAACGTACGTAGTGTCCCCTGCCGCCATCCCAAGGGGCTGGCATGCATGCTTTGCCCCCCCCATTGCCCTCCATCCCCACCGTGTGCCCCCGGGGCTTTTCTCCCGAGTATCCTCTGCTCCCTGCAGCCGGAGCGGCACACTGGCCCCGGCACAGCCCGGCCTAACCCAAATCCCCCCCCAGCTGCTTGCAGCCGAGCCCCCCCCCCCCCACCCTCCCCCCCCCCC